TACGAATAAATATTTAAACCATTTACACGGGAGCATCTGAGTACAGTGTATTTGCCAATCTTCACCTTCCTCTATGCTGAACAGGCCTTATTAGAGGAGGAGGTAAAGGTGGGTTATTTGGGTTATTCCAGACACATAGTTCACAGGCCTCAGTTACCTGCTTTGCTGTTTTAAGTAAGCCTTTTTCTACAAAAAGCTGCGACATGAATTGAAACAGGGAATCTCTTCCCAAATAAGTAGAGTCATGCAAATGCTTAACTATTTTCCACTGATAACATCTAGTATCAACAGTTTGTTGTCATTGATACGCCAGCCAGAGGATCTTCAATTGAACCCCGAATTTCAACCCATTCTTATTCCTCTTTAGTATATCTTGGTTCTGTTATTGTCATGGCTGAGGGCTCCTTTAACACTGCTGCCTTAGCAGCTGCATCTGCAAAGAAGTTTCCCTTAATCACACTAAGGGAAGAGCCTTTTTTCTTGGCTCACAGCAACTTCCACCTTCCAAGCTTAAGCAATTCTCCTTCCTCAGATTCCTTAGCAGCTGGGACTACTAATTTTTTTTGTATTATTAGTAGAGACAGGGTTTCACCATGTTGGCCAAGCTGGTATCAAACTGTGACCTCAAGTAATCCACCCGCCTCGGCCTCCCAAAGTGCTGTGATTACAGGTGTGAATTACAGCGCCAGACCCAGAATTTCTAAGTGATGTTTTATAGGGGAACCCTTAGCACTTTGGAGTCCCTATTCCTTCCAGATAGCAGCATGAGCATGAAGTACCAGAAAGGCAGACTTAGAATCAGTGTAAATGTAAATTCTTAAGTCCTTTCCCAATTGCAGGGCTCTAGTAAGAGCTATTCTGTAATATTTAGGTTCAGGGGTTCAGGGTGCCCTCAGCTCCCCTGAGAGGACGTTTCTCCAAGTTCTTGGTCTCCTGCTCCCTCAAGAATGAGAGAGGGGACCACGGCACAGTGCGCAGTAAATGCCGTACTCAGAAGTGTTTGTAGAAAGTGATTTATTTAGAGAGAGAAACAGGAGAAGGAGAGAGGTAGAAACAGTTAACTCTCACACTGAGTGAGAGAATCCAGAAAGATGGAATCCAGGAGAGGAAAGCAGCTTCCACCTTGAGTGGAAGGAAATAGAGAGAGAGATGGAGTTTAGGAGAGGAAAACAGGCTTCCACGAGAGAGCGTGGAAGGGGACTCCAGAAGGGAAATCCAGGAGAGAGAAAGACGGCTTCCATGAAGGGAGTGTTCGTGGAAGGGGACCCAAAGGTGGAGTCCGAAGGATGTGGAAAAAGGGGACTTTTAGCCTGGGAGGAACCCCCACCTAAGATCCCAGACCTATGAAAGGAGTTCCTTAGAACTTCCACTGGAGTGATTGACTCTTAGTTTCTTCCCGCGCCCTCTAAATTTAAACTGTTAAATCTCCCATCTGTAAACCATTCACCTCAGGATTATCTAGAGGCTCATCCTTTAAATCCGGACAGCTGGAGTAAACTTGCTCCATAACTTGTATACTGGAATGATCTCGGGTGCCTGTGGGTTCAGGCAAATAGGTAGCTGGATTCAACGTATGGCATACTTTAAGTGTTATATCAGGATGTTTAGCAACAAAGCCTGATATATATTCACAGGAGAGGAGAAGGAGCATTGCGATCTGCCTTGTGATTTCCAAAAGATACTACTCTTTGCAGCTGAGTTAACAAATTCCTTCCCAACAAGTGGTGGGGCATTCGGTAGAAAACAAAAGTCCCTGAAGAGAAGCTTAAACGATAAGTAAAATGGCATCTGTGGGCTTGTCCATCTATTCCCATGACCATACAGTTTGGGTGCAACAGAGACCCATTATAATGGGTCAAAACAGCATGAGCAGTCCAGAAGGAAGTTAATGTTCTTACCTGCCACATCGAGGGTTACCGAAGGCTTCTCCAGAGGTAATGGCTAGTTGTCTGATGGGAGCTGTGGTGGAAAGTCTCGGGCTCATCGTTCTTGGGCTTGCCTGGCTACTTCGGCCATCATTGGTTTGGGTGCCGATGGCTCCCTTCAGAGCCCTGGGCAATCCCTCTTCCAATGGCCAGTTTTCTTACAAGATGCACATAGATTCATGCCCAAGGCACAGTGACTCTGACACCCAGCTTTCGGCTTCCCACCTTTGAGCTCCCCTTTTTCAGGCCAAGAGCTGGGAGGACAACCCTCTGTGGTGAGGTAAGATTAAGGCTGCAGCCAAGAGCTGCCTGTGGGAGGTTCTTCTTGCTCTTTCTGCTTCCTCTGCTTTGTCCCTGTTATTAAAAACTAAAACTACCATACCCAAAAGCTGTTATGTAGGAGTTTGAGGACCCACAGCTGCTTTTTATAGTTTCCTATGAATATCAGAGGCAGACTGGATTATAAAATGTACTCCCAAAAGGGTTCGTCCTTCCCTTGAGGCAGGGTCAGTGTTAGTATATTTCCTAATTGCCTCAATTAAATGCCCTTGAAACAAAGCTGGATAGTCATCCTTGTCCTGAGAAACTTCCTTAATATTTTCCTACTTAATAGGCTTTTTCAGACATTTCTTCATCCCTTCCAACAAATAAGTGACCATATGATCTCTCCTCCCCAAGGAGTCACTGCCCCTTGATAGTTCCACTCTGGATCTTCATCTGGAACTGCTCTACCTCCTGCCTGATATATACTATGGTTTGGGTTGTGAGCCAATGCCTCATCTGCATGGGCCCCAGCTGTCCCCTAAATGTGTTCTCTTCCACTGTATAACACAGAGACAACAAAACATGCAGATCCTGTCAAGTTAATTATACATCAGAATTAATTTCTCAAACTCATCTATGAATCTTCCTAGGTCTTCAGAGAAATAACGACACTTCTCTTTACATAGAGTCAAATCAGACATAAAGAAGGGAACATATACTCTCACAGTGCCTTCTTCCCCATTTGTCACCTCTCTAAGTGGACAAAGGTTTCCCTTTGGAGGTTGATAGGAAGCTCCACTATGAGTAGTACTCACCAAGCTAAGCTCCTCAGGACCAAGGGGGCTTGCATTAAAGGATCATCTAGCATGTCTATCTCTTTTTCTTCTTTTCCTCATGATTGACATTATCCAAATAACATAAGTGAGCCAAGCCATGGATCTCAGATAAACTACAACATGGACTTTGACAAAAATGCTGAATAAGGCAAAGGAAATGAAGAGGATGTAGATGGAAATGACCAGAGCAAGCAGGTTCCGGGCAATAGTGGCAGTGTGGATTGGTCGAGCAAAGCCGGTTTGCCTGAATGCACGAAAGGAAAGAAGTGTTTTTAGTGTGCAAAATGAAATGAAACAGCAAGGAGAAAAGTCCCCTGATTTCCGTCCTAGTGCTTCTCAATCATATCTAGTTGGCATAGCAGCAACAAAACATAACCACATCTACCTAATCTTCTTGCTCATAGCTGTTGAATACCAAATCTCAATCAGCAATTTTAAAGAGAGCCTTCAATGCTTTTTGTTCCCAACGTTTCACAAGCAGACACATGGAAATCGGGAGACACATAAGAAAAGAGTAAGCTAAAATCCCTAAGAGCAGTCAGATAAAGTCTCCTGAAAATGACAGTGAAACACAGACAGCAACCAAGAAATTGATTCATGCAGCAAGGAGGACAAGGCAGACTAATACAAAGAGCAGGTGCCAAACCCGTTTTTAGCAGAGAGGGACTTTACTGAGACAAACCTCTAACCTCTTAGATCTTAGAAGGGACTCTAACCCTCCTAAGTCGGGCCTCTAACCCAAGGTCAGACAAGGGTCTTTGCCTTCTCTTAAGAGGGGCCTCTAACCCACCCTGTCTTCAGAGGGACTCTAACCCAATCCCATCCTTTACCCAGGTAACCCACCACTCACCCAAAGTCATCCAATCAGTGCTGCAGGCGGTTTCCCTTGGCTTGCGGTGGGTGGGGTTTCTTCAGTATGGGTCCTTCATGGTTGCGAGAAATATGTTACAGAACAGGGGTCCCAATCCAGACCCAAAGAGAGGGTTCTTGGATCTCGTGCAAGAAAGAATTCAGGGCAAGTCCACAGTGCAAAGTAAAAGCAAGTTTATTAAGAAAGTACAGTGGCAAAAGGACAGCAAATCCATAGACAGAGTAGGACGTTCCCGAAAGAGGAGGAGCTCATCCACCCTCTAGGTACAATGCTTGTATTTATGGGGAGATGTGTTTTGCTACAAGGGTTTGTGATAAAGAATTAATTTTCTTAATTAGTATATTTTGCAGGAATTAATATGATTATCTTTAAAGCAAAATTAGAAATGCCTTTGTTCTCCAGATATTGGGTTATCTGGACATTCCCAAGTCTGGGTCTGCTTAGTAAACATTATTAAATTTGTGCCCCTAACCATAAACATCTAGAGGCTAGGAATGCCCACCTTTCTGAGAATGCAGGCTAGTAAGTCTCAGCCTCAAATTCCTAGTCCTCACTCAAAATGGAGTCGCTCTGGTCCAAACACCTCTGACATCATCAGGGTTGGTTTCTTCTGATGTCTCTCCCCTTGGCTTGTAGATGGCCATCTTTTCTTTGTGTCTTCACATGGTCATCCCTCTGTGTCCTAATCTCCTCTTCTTATAAGGACACGGTCAGGTTAAATTAGGATCACTCTAAGGACCTCATTTAACTTAATTACCTCCTGAAAGACCTTATCTCCAAATACAGTTACATTGGGAAGTACTGAGAATTAGGACTTTAACATATGTAAAAGGAACTTAGATTGCACTGAGACATTTATGTTCTTTCTTCCTACTATTTCCATTCTCTTTGTCCTGTAGGTAGGTTTTTGGGTCATTGGTTCTTTTTGTTTGTTATTTGTTTCCTTATTTCTTAAGTCTTATGACTTAAAAATCTGTCTGGTAAGCAGTTTCTCAGCAGTGATTCAAATTTATTGACATTTTTGGTAATGTTACTGATTTAAAAGTATTTTAGATCCTTCTAAACCCAAGAAAAAAGAATGTTCTAAAACGAAACTGAAACTCTCTACCCTTCAACTTCCTCCTGCTTTTCTGTACTGACACTCTGACACGCCCACAGAAAGTCAGAGCACCAGGAGAACAGAAAACTTCACAATTTCATGCCTTAGTTTTTTTAAAAAAAAGATCGTAACAGTTCTGTGTCACCCAGCCATCAGAAGAGGAATGAGACAGCAAAAGCTCAAATGACTGTTTCAAGCTTGATGAAGTTTTCAGGAAAATCCTGGTAAGTAAACTGAATTATTAAACCTTTATTTGTTATGCCTTTGAGGGGACAGCTATATTTTTAAAACTTCAGCTGTACTTTTTAAATAAATATATGTTTGTACATAAACCATTACTTATAAAACTACTAAAGTAATTAGAAACATCAATGGATTAAATACATGTCAGTATATTTAACTGATAATAACTTTATAAGTCCTCTTCTAAAAAGAAACATACCATTAAGTGTAATTAGGATGGAGGGAGGGTTTCTGATTGTGACAGGCAGGCTTTGCAAAAGAGAATGGAGTAATGATGCAAACAGGGTCAGGAATTTAAGCACAGAAAATTCTAAAGGAACCTGTGATCTTGTAAAATTATGCAAAATTTTTTCTTCATAATGTAAGATGTTATTAAAAGCTTTACATTTCATCGAGGGTAATACTCTGCAGAGGCTATATACTCTTCTATTAAAGTATTTCATCTACATACATTTTATACAGCAACCTGGTTGAAAACAAACAAACAAAAAATACAAAGTGTTCTCAGGAAAAGGAAACTAACTTCCTTGTGTGGCCTCCCTTTGCCAGACTATGGGAGGAGGCTGTGGGTGGCTCTCCTGGGCTACAGCCAAGATTCTGAAGTGTTTTTCCACTACTTCAGTTCTAAGAATCCTGCAGAGCTTCCCAAGGCATGGATATCTGGGGTGTTGCTGAGGGCCTCTAAAAGATGGGGTGGGCACCTGTGCTTGTCCCTGAGAGTTTGCTGATTTAGTACCTCTTGCTGAACAGCAAAGAGAAAACTGGAGTGTTGAGGATGGCAACCTGCAGCCCCTTTGTCAGTAATCAATGTATCTAAACAATATTTGTGTTTACGATTGTTTCAAAACAGGACACTGAGGGTCTCTAAAAAGGCAAGTGTTATACCCAGGCAATCACAAAATTAGTCCACACTAATCAGGATAATTTTGATTGTTACTTAGTTCCAACAGCATATATCCAGATGCTCTTAAATTGCACTAGCTAAAATGAAATAAAAAATCTGGACTCTGTTTTTTCCATCTTTAGGATTTCAAGAGAGAGAGTGGCTGGTTAAATTACTGAAAGAGGACTCTGGCTTAAAGGAGGTATTGCACCTCACCTGAGTGGATTGTGTCAGTGGAAAGCGGTAAGCCCCTTGCCAGAAGATCAGCTTCCCAGCACAGGCTGCAGGTGAAAACAGCAGAGGTCTTAAGACACTGGGGACTTGGAGTCAAAAGGGACCTCACCTCCTCCAGGGAATAATGCTTTGTGAGAAATGGCCTCACTCAGCCACTGTGAGTGACACAGCAGAAAGTTGGCAAGGTGTCTTATGAAAGTAGGGTACCTACAAAAACTGCAGGAGAAAACATATTTATTGATTTTCTTTTCCTTTTGAAAAAAAACTTCCTTTTCATTCTTTGTGACCAGACGATAGAAGCTGGAGTTAGCTCTGGCCTAAGGGTAGCTCAGTAAAGAGATTTCCCCAGATTTCTATCTGGGCTTCCAGCCAAGTGAAGTAATTACCCTAAAAAAGTGAGGAAGTCCTTTGACTCACAGATGTTGCTAGCTTGAGGGCTTTCAAATATTCATTACTTTTAACTACTCTAAGGAAATATGTTATTCATTTAACAGATTTTTGTTAAGAATCTATTTTGTGCTAGGCAATGCAGGATAATGAAGAAAATGTAAAGAAATTTGTCCTCATTGGAAGGCATAGATTAATGGGTGGGACAGAAAAGCAAAGTAAGTAGGTTAAAATATATAAAATATTTGCTTGTTGTAAGTCCTAAGTAGAGAAAGCCAGAAGAGAGAAGTGTTGGGAGGTAGTATAAAGTTTTCAGTAGGCTGGCCAAACAGTGCCTGGCTGAGAAGGTGACATTTGACAAAAGATCTCAAGAAAGTGAGTGAGCCCTGCTGGTATCCAAGAACATTCCAGGAAGAGAATGCAAGTGTAGTGGCTGCAAACAGGGACAGGGGCCTCCTACAGGAAGCAATGAGGAGGTCAGGTGGCTGGGCCAGATTGGGAGGGAAAAATAAAAGACGTAATGTCAGAGGGTTAACGGGTTACCAGATTGTGTGAGGCCTTGTCAGATGGAAAGCTACAAGCAGGGGTGGACACAATATTGTCATGATGTTATTTACATTTTAACAGGGTCACTCTGGCTGCCTTTTTTGAGAGGTCCCTGAAGGGATCAATAACAGCAAGAGGGAACCTGATGAGGGAGCTATTCCTATAATCCAGGAGAGAGATGAGGATGGCTTGGACTAGGTGGTAGTGGTGACAGGTGGTCAAATACTGGGCATATTGTGAAGATATAGCCCATAGGATTGGCTCTACATTGAACACGGAATGCTGGAACAGAGATAAAGTATACCTGCCACATATTGTTGGAGGTTTATTATTTTCTTAGAAGGATTTAAGTATACAAAGAGATACTACCTAGGAGAAGGGTATTCTTTTCACTATTCTTTCTGGTTTTCTGTATGTTTGAACAGTTTCATAGTAGAAAGTTAGAAGGAGAATCTGTTCCATAAACATTTCCTAAGCAGAAATCTGGTCTATTGCATTTTAATTGGTTGTGATATCATTGTTTTATGCAATATGTTCTCAACAAGTATATCCTTTGGTAAACTGAACAAGGAACAAGTCTGTTCTACCTACAACTCTGCTTCCTCATAGCTGCTTTCCGGAATGTGACTCTTGCAAATTCTCAAGAAAGGGGAACTAATCTAAGGGATCCACATCAAACAGGCTCATGAAGACTTATTTCATGTTTCTAGTATAAAGATAGAAGTTTTCAGAAAAGTCCTAGTAAGTTACTAATCATTAAAGTCTTGTTTAGTCAACTCTGTTTAAAAGCTATCTTTAAAAATTAATTCTAAAAAGTAAAACAAAACTTTGAAAATGAATATACTTACAAGTGTGCATAAGCTGTTTCTTATGAGACCATTTTAAAAGGAATAAGAAATATCACTGCTTTTATATAAGTATCACTAGATGTAACTTGTGCTGACTGCAGAATTTTTAAAAAAGAAACCTTCCAGCAAGCATGGCAAGGGTGCAGCATATTTCTAGAGTTGGAAGGCTCTGGGAGTGAGGCTAGAAAACCTGGGTAAGGTGTAGACCAGAAGATCAGGAATCCAAGCATATAAAGCTGTGTAGAAAATTGTAGCTGTGTGCAGCTATGCCATCCTCTGTCCTATAAGTTAGAATAAAGCCCTCCAAGGTTTAGCCTTCATTTCATGAAAAATTTTTGTTCACCACTAGCTTGTATAGAAACTGGGTAAAAATACCTAATTTGAACATGCTCTTCAAGAAAATGAAACTATTAACTTTGTGGTTTCAGTTACACAGAGCGTTATAGAGCAGAAGTGGGCCTGCTTGTCGGCTGCTGAAATTCTGAGCATCCTTTCCTAGAGGCACAGAAAGTGAATGAGTGAGCCCAGTGAGGTGAGTGAGCCCAGTGAGGCCCAGCCTCCTAAAAAAGGGGGTGAGCACCAGAGCTTGCAAAGACCAGGACAGTTTGATTCTTCCTACTTAGTCTTTACAGAGAAAAATAATAGTCTTTAGGCAGTAGATCCTGAAATTTAGTGTCTGCAGGGAATTCATTCCCAGACCTGTGCAGATACCAAACCCCAGACATACTCAAATCCCTAATATAAAATGGCAAAGTATTTGCCTATAACCTATACACATCCTCCCATGTACTTTGAGTCATCTCTAGATTGCTTATAATACCTAGTACAGTGTAATATTACACAGTTGTTATACTGTATTGTTTAGAGAATAGTGACAATGAAAACAAGTCTGTACATGTTCAGTACAGATGCAATTTTTTTTCAAATATTTTCAATCTGAAGTTGGTTGAATCCACGGATGTGGTATCCACTGATAGGGAGGGCCTAGTGTACAAATAAAGAGAACTCTGGGTTTCAAAATTATCTCAGAACAGAATGAAGATAAGTTACAGGTCTTCTCCCCAGCTCCAACCAGAGCAGCTACACCCATGTTAAATACAGCAGTTTCAGGTGTGTTTCTTTTGGAAAAACAGGACAAAAACAAGGAACAAATAGGACAACACTAGTTCTGGTCTGATTTTCCCATATTATAAGTGGGAAAACAGGCTCACTGAGAGGAGACAAAATTAATCATGACATCATTTTTCTGATCACAGTTCCTCCCCTTTCATACACAATATGTAGCTTCTTGCTAAACATGAATGTCATGTTTAAAACTATGCCAACAGCCTAAGATGTATGTTGAAGTCACAGAAAGAGCCCAAAAGTTATGTCAAAGCATTATTAAAACGTTTTTGCCCAAATCATTGTCACCTGAATTAAATAACAGCTCCAACTAAATATGGATTATAAATCATATAAGATGCTTATAATTGACAGATGGCAAAATTAACATGAAAATAATATTAAATATATAATAGCATCAAATTGTTACATCTCTTCTCAGTTACCATCATAGGGGTGGGAAATGGTGGAATTCTTGCTAGAAAATATTTTGACCTTTTTTTTTTGAAATGAAGTCTTTTTCTTGTCCCCCAGGCTGGAGTGCAGTGGCATGATCTCGGCTCACTGTAACCTCCACCTGCTGGGTTCAAACCATTCTTTTGCCTCAGCCTCCCAGGGAGCTGGGATTAAAAGCACCTGTTACCACGCCCAGCTAATTTTTGCATTTTTAGTAGAAACAGCGTTTCACCTCAAACTCCTGACCTCAAGTGATCTGCCCGCCTCAGCCTCCTGAAGTGCTGGGATTACAGGCATGAGCCACCGCACTCAGCCAATATTTTGATGTTATGTGTTATCATACTAACATATGATGTAGTAACACAAGAAAAGTGAAGAAAGCAGGTCGGTCGGTAGATGTGGTTTCAGGAGTTTGGAGAAATTCTCTTTGGATTGCTTCATATCTGATGGCTTAAACAGGAAGCAAGGTAATCATGGTGAGGAAGTGTTTTAGGTTTGATGAGAGAGGAGAGACAGTGAAATGCTCATTTAGGAGAATAAGAGTCACTAAAGCAGAGAAATAGAGCATGGTAGCTGAGAGCATTAATGTGAGATCAGTTAGGGTATAGAGTGCCATTGTCCAGCCATGTTCCAATCAGGGTGTGGAGGACCATTGTCCAGCCATGTTCCAGTCAAGGTGTGAAAGGTCATCATCCAGCACGCTGCAGTCAGGGTATGGAGGACCATTGTCCAGCCATGCTCTGACAAGCTGTTAGGGACTCAGTGGTGGATATAAGTAGCATTGTGGTTTACGAGTTGTACCACAGAGGAGAAAATAAGTGATGATGATGAATATTCAGAACAATATTAAGCCAGTAAAAGAGGGAAAGTGAAACATGAATAAAGTGAGGAAAAGTGAGACAGTAGTAGAATCCATGGATCGAAGGTGTTGGTTTTAAAGAAATATTTACTAGTGTTTGAGCACTAAAGGCAGTGAGCCTGAGGGGCAGGAGATGGTGGGGACAGGGAAGTGTTTCAAACAGAGAGGATAGAGGGCTTGTAGTTCTCAGTAACTGCATTTGTTGGCTAGGGCTGCCATAATAAAGTAGCAAAGAGTCACTTCAACGACAGAAATGTGTTATCTCAGAATCCTGGAGACTAGAAGTCCAAGATCAAGGTGTTGGCAGGGTGGCTTCCTTCTGAGGGTTACAAGGGAGAATTTCTTCCATGCCTTTCACAGTAGCATGCTGGCAATCTTTGGTGATTCTTGGCTTATAGAAACATCACACTGATATCTGCTTTTGTCTTCATACTGTTCTCCCTGTGTGTAAGAAAGCCTCTGTGCCCAAATGTCCCCTTTTTACAAAAACATCATTCATATTGGATTAGGGCCCCCTCTAATAATTTCACATCTACTAATTACATCTACAACAATCCTGTCTCCAAATAAAGTCACATTGTGAGGTTAGGAATTCAAAGCATGAATTTTGGGGTGATAGAATTCAACCCATAATAGTAATGATAATGTCAAGGATGTGACCATGGGAATAGAAATGTGTTGATATCAAGATAAAAGTCAATCGAGTGAGAGGCCAATGTATTGGAAGGATAAATGATGTATCTATTGAGCTAGCAATAATTACAACAGAAATAGTATCTGAGGACATGAGTGTTGTCTTCCCTTCAGCTTCCCACATTTTAATACAAAATATTAAAATGACTAAAAATGTATAAAAAGTAAGTATTCAGCAAATTTTCAAAGTATGAAATATCTTAAGACTAAGGTTTAAAATTCTATGGTAGTTATCTCATATGTAATGACTTCAAAAAAGTTTTTATTAGAAATATGTTTATTAATTACTGCTTATACTATTGGTTTTACATAACGCTTATAAACAGGTGAGGCAGGGCCCCTCCCTTGGTCTTACCTGAGATGACACTTAGGGCCTCTTCGGGGGAGATGGAAAGATCAGGGATGACCCTACCAGACTCTCAGGCTCCCTCTGCCCAGAGTACTCCATGGGAGGCCCAGTGAGTGACCTGGCTCTGGGTACAGGAGTAGGAACTACCCGTGGCTGGAACAGCACCTTGTTATACCCCTTGGACCCACTAGAGGAGCCTTTGGCAGGTCCACCAAAAGGTGGAGCAATAGGTAGACCAATAGGTAAACCATTTCTTACTCCCTAATCTGTCACCCAGGCTTTCTCCCTCACTTGCTTCCCACATGACTCCAGCAGTTCCCATAACTTCACCTGCCCAATGTTCTCACTCTCTTCCCTCTCACATATCCCAGGCCTAGACCCCTTCTTGTGTCTAACAAAAAGCACTACCACACTTTGTCAGCATAAACTTTTTTGAGTGTGTATGTGTGTGTGACTTATTTTATTTTTTTATCTTCTTTAATGGATGATAAGTATCATGAAAGAACTTCACATCTGTTTTGATTATCACTGTTTTTCCTGAGCATGATGCCTGGTGCATAATAGGTACTCATTAAATACGTGCGGAATGAATGAACAGCTGACACTATTTAAGATAAATAACACTTATCTCTAGTTACAAGATATGGGCTAATTCTTGTGGGACCCCTAAGACCTACAAGTGACTTCTGTATACACTACAGATGAACAGACTCGATCATCTAAAATATATTTATAGCATTCATTGTGCCAGTTGCTCATAGTTCTGCTAATTGGCTCAGGGCTAGTTGTGACCCACAGGCTGAAGCCAGAGTAAGAGAATTCAAGGCACTAAGGCAACCAGGAACAGTTTTATCAAGGCAAGTGGAAGCTGCTGTACTCAGTGGTTGCATGCCTATGGATGGGGTAAATCATTCTGGTGCAAATACGGTATTCACACCATAAGTGGGTAGTTCAGGTTTTCTCTGTGGCCAATCACAGGGCTGCAAGCTGAAGCCCCAGTTTAGCTTATTCTTTATGCATAACTATTAGGTGAACTTTTCCAAGAAGTTCCAAGCACAGATGTTTAAAATTTGCAGTTTGGCTAGACTTTGTGATTGGCTGTGCATTACTTTTTTTTTAAACTTATAGCATTCATTAGGTTTAAGGAACTTAAAAATTACAAATCATTTAAAACAGTGGTCCCCAATCTTTTTAGAACTAGGATGGTTTCATGGAAGACAATTTTTCCACAGAGTAGTGGGGAATGGTTTTGAGTTGAGGCAGGGGCATTACATTTTGTGTGCACTTTATTTCTATTATTACTATATTATAACACATAATGAAATTATTATACAACTCCCCATAATGTAGACTAGTAGAAGCCCTGAGATTGTTTTCCTGCAACTAGATGGTCCCATCTAGGGTTATGGGACATGGTGACTGATCATCAGGAATTAGATTCTGATAAGGAGTGTGCAGCCTAGATCCCTCAAATGCACAGTTCACAACAGGGTTTGCACTCCTATGAGAAACTAATGCCGCCACTGATCTGACAGGATGTGGTGCTCAGGCAGTAATGCAAGCTATGGGGAGTGACTGTAAATGCAGATGAAGGAAACTTTGCCAGCTCACCCACCATTCACCTCCTGCTGTGCAGCCCAGTTTCTAATAGGCTAGGGACTGGCACTGGTCCATGTCATGGGGTTTGGGGACCCCTGGTTTAAAATGCTTGTATTTTCTCCCTTTATAGCTTATTCTAGTGTTTTTGTATTTGATCCTTCATGTTTTTTGTCTGTCCTTAAAAGGTTTTCACTTTCTGGTTTTTCTGCTTACTTAGACCAATTAATTTATTTATCTTTTAAATTCTGATTCAGTTGGTCTAAGTGGGGCCTGAGAATTTACATTTCTAGCCAGCTTCTAAGTGATGCTGCTGGTCTAGAGACCACACCATGGGAACCACTGCTGTTGGTCTTGTCTGCACAATATATTCAGCAAGGCAAACTTTAAAACTAATGCCCGAAAACACCACCCTCACTCCCTCAACAACTAACACAGTCTCATATGTGGAACACCAAGTGATTCTAATGTATAACTGAGGTTGAAAACCCCTGTCCTAGGAGTTGAAAATAGGCAGCTCTTGCCATTCATCAAAGTACATAATTGTAGGATCATCTTTATTAGCCTCATATCAATAATTTAGGTGAAAAAGTCTCTAACAAAATTAAAAACTCATACTATTTTCCCTATCTAGTTTCAGCGGGCCCAGCTTGAACTACAGGTAGTCTCTTTGGGTACCTTCTGAAAGCACAAGAATTAGCCAACCAAATCAATTATCTTGACATTTTGCTACCAGGTTCCCCCACCCCTAGCCTTGTGGCCTAACAGCTTGAGTTCCGAAAGAAAACAGATGATTATTTAATCAACTGCTTTGTTACTATGCAACAAAGATAGACATCTGTGGATCCCTGTTCCTCAACCCACCTCTACCTCTTCAGTTTCATTATTTTAAAGTTTGTTTGCAATATTCCTGTATGCTGTGGGAACCAGTTTCTATGTTACTTATGATTCTGGTTTTAAGTTACAAAAACCCAACTTTCCCCATGTTAAGCTAAAAGGGAGAATTATCATAAGGATAAAAGTTGTTTCACCTAGTTAGCAGCTACAGCTTATTTCGTAATTACAATTAGAGTCATCTAAGAAACAAGGATATGAATTAGGACGGTAAAACAGCTAAAGTAAGTATCAAGCAGTTTTAAGTCAGCCCTGGGCAATGTTATACATATCTATATCTATATCTATATACGTATGTATCTTCTGTATGAGAATGTATACACAGTTTATATGATTTCAATAATAAAGTATAATTCTAAAATACTTATTATATTACTTTTTCTAAGGAAGAAGTTGAAGCTTTGATATGAGTAAACAAGTAACTCTACCTGAAATGATTAAAGACTGGACCAAAGAGCATGTGAAAAAGTGGGTAACTGAAGACCTTAAGATTGATGAGAAATATGGGCAAATTCTGCTCAATGAAGAAGTGACAGGATTAGTCCTGCAGGAATTAACTGAGAAGGACCTTACAGAGATGGGGCTACCACGCGGTCCAGCACTTTTGATAAAACGTTCATATAACAAATTGAATAATACGTCCCCTGAAAGTGACAATCATGATCCTGGACAATTAAATCATTCAAAATCTTCTATAACAGAACACCATAAAAAGCCAAAACAGACCAAAAGGAAAGAAAAAAATTCAGTGTCATCCAGTATTGATTATGATCCCAGGGAGGTCAGAGATATCAAAGAACAAGAATCAATTCTTATGAAAGAAAATGTGTTAGATGAAGTAGTAAATGCCAAAGACAAGAAAAAGGATAAGCTAAAACCTGAACAATTGACTTGCATGCCATATCCTTTTGATCAGTTCCATGACAGCCAGCGCTACATAGAACATTACATCCTACAACCTGAAACAGGACCACTCAATCTCATCGACCCAATACATGAGTTCAAAGCTCTCACCGACACAGAAAGAGCCACAGAAGAGGACATTAAGATGAAATTTAGCAATGAAGTCTTCCGATTTGCATCAGCTTGTATGAATTCACGCACCAATGGCACCATCCATTTTGGAGTCAAGGACAAACCCCATGGCAAAATTGTTGGTGTGAACATCACCAGTAAGGATGTCTTCATTGACCACTTCAATCTAATGATCAAAAAGTATTTTGAAGAAAGTGAGATCAATGAAGCCAAGAAGTGTATTCGGGAGCCAAGGTTTGTGGAAGTCCTCCTGCAGAACAATACACCATCTGACAGGTTTGTCATTGAAGTCGATATTATTCCAAAACACTCTGTATGTAAAGATAAGTATTTCTACATTCAGATGCAAAGTTGTACAGATAAAATATGGAAACAAAACCAAAATTCTTCACTGTTTGTAAGAGAAGGGGCTAGCTCTAGGGATATCCTGGCCAATCCCAACAAACGGGATGTAGATTTCAAAGCATTTTCACAAAAATTAAAGTCACTGGTAGCATCTAGGAAAGAGGCTGAAGAAGAATACAGAATGAAGGCAATGAAGAAGGAGAGTGAAGGACTAAAGCTGGTTAAACTTCTCATAGGAAACCGAGACTCACTAGATAATTCATACTATGACTGGTACATTCTTGTAATAAATAAATGCCATCCAAACCAAATCAAGCACTTAGATTTTTTAAAGGAAATTAAATGGTTTGCTGTGTTGGAGTTTGATCCTGAATCTCAGATCAAGGGAGTGGTCAAAGCTTACAAAGAAAGCCGAGTGGCAAACCTTCACTTTCCAAATCAGTATGAAGACAAGAAAACAAACATGAGGGAGAAGACTTCTGCTCTCAATCTTTACCAGCAGCCCAGCTGGATTTTCTGCAATGGCAGATCAGATTTGAAAAGCGAGACATATAAACCTCTAGAACCACATTTATGGCAGAGAGAAAGAGCTTCAGAAGTCAGGAAACTGATTTTGTTTCTCACAGATGAAAATATAATGACAAGAGGAAAATTTTTGGTAGTGTTTCTATTACTCTCTGCAGTGGAAAGCCCAGTAGATCCACTCATTGAAACTTTCTGGGCTTTCTATCAAGCTCTCAAAGGAATGGAAAATATGTTGTGTATCTCTGTAAGCTCACATACCTACCAACGATGGAAGGATCTACTACAAACAAGAATGAATATAGAAGATGAATTAACAAACCACAGTATTTCTACTTTAAATATAGAATTGGTAAATAGCACGATCCTTAAACTAAAATCGGTAACTCAGTCATCAAGAAGGTTTTTGCCTGCCCATGGATCTTCTTCCATTATCCTAGAGAAAAAGGAAGAGGATGTCTTGACTGCACTGGAAATCCTCTGTGAAAATGAGTGTAGAGACACAGACATCGAGAAAGATGAATCTAAATTCCTGGAATTTAGGAAATCTAAAGAAGAACACTTTTATCGAGGTGGCAAAGTATCATGGTGGAACTTCTATTTTTCTTCTGAAAACTATTCTTCAGATTTTGTGAAAAGGGACAGTTACGAAAAGCTTAAAGATTTAATACAATGCCTGGCAGAGTCTCCTAAACCAATATTTGCAAAAATCATTAATCTTTATCATCATCCAGGCTGTGGGGGTACTACACTGGCTATGCATGTTCTCTGGGACTTAAAGAAAAAGTTCAGATGTGCTGTGTTAAAAAACAAAACAACTGATTTTGTAGAAATTGGCGAGCAAGTGACCAATCTGGTCACCTATAAGGCAAAGAGCCATCCTGTGCTCCTCCTTGTGGATGATTTTGAAGAACAAGAAAATGTCTACATTCTACAAAATGTGATCCATTCAAATTTAGCAGAAAAGGATTTGCGATATGAAAATACATTGGTAATTATTTTAAACTGCATGAGATCCCGGAATCCAGATGAAAGTGCAAAATCGGCAGACAGTATTGCACTAAATTACCAACTTTCTTCCAAGGAACAAAGAGCTTTTGGGGCCAAACTGAAGGAAATTGAAAAGCAGCACAAGAATTGTGAAAACTTTTATTCCTTCATGATCATGAAAAGCAATTTTGATGAAACATATATAGAAAATGTAGTCAGGAATATCCTAAAAGGACAGGATGTTGACAGCAAGGAAGTACAACTCATTTCCTTCCTAGCTTTACTCAACTCTTATGTTACTGATTCTACAATTTCAGTTTCACAGTGTGAAATATTTTTGGGAATCATATACACTAGTACACCCTGGGAACCTGAAAGCCTGGAAGACAAGATGGGAACTTATTCTACACTTCTAATAAAAACAGAAGTATCAGAATATGGGAGATACACAGGTGTGCGTATCATTCACCCTCTGATTGCCGTGTACTGTCTGAAAGAACTGGAAAGAAGCTATCACTTGGATAAATGTCAAATTGCATTGAAGATATTAGGAGAGAGTTTATTTTATGATTCTGGAATAGGAAGAGACAAATTTCAACATGATGTTCAAACTCTTCTGGTTACAAGACAGCGCAGGGAGTATGGAGATGAAACAGACACTTTGTTTTCCCCATTAATGGAAGCTTTACAGAATAAAGACATTGAAAAGGTCTTGAGTGCAGGAAGTAGACGATTCCCACAAAATGCATTCATTTGTCAAGCCTTAGCAAGACATTTCTACATTAAAGAGAAGGACTTTAACACTGCTCTGGACTGGGCATGTCAGGCCAAAATGAAAGCACCTAAAAATTCCTATATTTCAGATACACTTGGTCAAGTCTACAAAAGTGAAATCAAATGGTGGTTGGATGAGAACAAAAACTGTAGGGACATTACTGTTAATGACCTAACACATCTCCTAGAAGCTGCCGAAAAAGCCTCAAGAGCTTTCAAAGAATCCCAACGGCAAACTGATAGTAAAAACTGTGAAACTGAGACCTGGTCACCACAGAAGTCCCAGAGACGATATGGCATGTACAATACCGCTGGTTTCTTGGGTGAAATAGAAGTTGGTCTTTACACTATCCAGATTCTTCAGCTCACTCCCTTTTTCCACAAAGAAAATGAATTATCTGAAAACCACATGGTGCAATTTTTATCAGGAAAGTGGACCATTCCTCCTGATCCCAAAAATGAATATTATTTGGCTCTTAGCAAGTTCACATCTCACCTAGAACATTTACAATCAGATCTGAAACGGTGCTTTGACTTTTTTATTGATTATATGGTTCTTCTGAAAATGAGGTATGCCCAAAAAGAAATTGTGGAAGTCATGTTAAGCAAGAAAGTCAGTCGTTGTTTCAGGAAATACACAGAACTTTTCTGCCATTTGGATTCAGATCTATTACAAAATAAAGGGAGTCAATTACTCCAGGAGGAAAATTGCAGGAAAAAGCTAGAAGCTCTGAGAGCAGATAGGTTTGCTGGACTCTTGGAATATCTTAATCCAAAATACAAAGATGCTGCAACTATCATGGAAATTATAGTGAATGAATATGCCTTCCTACTGCATCAAAACTCAAAAAAGTGCATGACAAATGAGAAACAAAATTCTATTTTGGCCAACATTATTCTCAGTTGTCTAAAGCCCAACTCCAAGGCCGTTCAACCACTTAACATACTAAAAAAACAACTCCGAGAGGTCTTGCAATTTGTAGGACTAAGTCATCAATATCCAGACCCTTATTTCTTGGCCTGCCTCCTGTTCTGGCCAGAAAATCAAGAGCTAGATCAGGATTCCAAACTAATAGAAAAGTACGTTTCATCCTTAAATAGATCCTTCAGGGGACAGTACAAGCGCATGTGCAGATCCAAGCAGGCAAGCACACTTTTCTATCTGGGCAATAGCAAGGGTCTCTACAGTATTGTTCACAAGGCTGAAATAGAGCAGTACTTTGATAAGGTACAGAATACAAATTCCCTCTGGCAGAGTGGGGATGTGTGGAAAAAAAATGAAGTCAAAGGCCTCCTGCGTCGTCTAATTGGTCAGGCTGAAGGCAAGCTAGTCTCTATAGAATATGGAACAGAGGAAAAAATTAAAATACCAGTAACATCTGTTTATTCAGGTCCACTCAGAAGTGGTAGGAACATAGAAAGAGTGTCTTTCTACCTAGGATTTTCCATTGAAGGCCCTCTGGCATATGATATACAAGTAATTTAAGAAGATACATCACCTATACTTCAAATATGTTTATTTATATCTTTATGATTTTATTTCTTTCTCTATTCTCATGGCACTTTCATGACATTATTGGCTTACCTCTAATCACAGATTTTGCTTTTGCCTCCCTGAATGAATTCTAAGCCTTTTTAAGATATGAAACGGGCCTACACACAAAACTTGGCATACAGGAGAGTCAATTATTTAATGTTTAAATATGCATTTTCAGACTCAAATAATTAATATGTTCCTTTGGTATCTACCAGTCACATTATAACTGATTATAGGTCAATAAAATCTGTGTTAAATTCAATTGCTTTTATATGTTTTCTGAATTATTTCTTCACTGTGACAGCAAAGATTTAAATAAGATGAATGTAAACGAGAAAGCTTATTGAACTCAAACCCACAGATCCACACCAGAGTTTCAATTAACTTGGTATCAATAAAAACATATGTGGAAGGTAAATATGTTGTTCTTCATCCTCCATATAACCCCCTGCCAACTCTCTCTCTCACACACACACACACGCACACAAACACACACACACACACTCCTTGTACCCCTTGCCCTTCTCCCAACTCATTGCTTCAGCAGAGAGAAGAGTTCAAAAATAATCATAAATTTGAACTCTCTCCATTCTCTTCTTCCCATTCACAGATGAATGTCTTCCTTTAGCCATTCTTGTCGCCTGTCAATACAGCCTTATCTCCACCTGTTCCTTAGATCTCATCTCCCCTGGGCTTTTTTTCCCACTCATTACCCTCTTTGTTCCCTTTACTTCTCAACCTGTGTTATAAACATGCTGTTCTCTCTGCTGAGATTGCCCTATGTCTATGTAACATTCTCTTTCCTTCTATTCTGATTTGTCATTCACAACTGAGTTCAAGAGTCATCTCCACTGGGAAGTCTTCCATGACCACCATCATCTCTGCCTGATTAGATGGCTTCCTCAACTTTTCAGTGCCAAGGAATGCCATCCCAGAAGCTCATTTCCAGACTCACAACAGAAAAGTCTCAAGCACCATTCCAGAGCTTGGAATTTAAGAGCTACCCATTGCCTATAAAGTGAAACATAGCCTAATATAGATCAAATTGAATATTGAAATAAGAAATATGTTTATTTATCCACATCTTTATATCTCTTTGTAATGTAACTTAGATGTTCCAAACTCCAAACCCAATTCTTCTTGTCATCAAGAAGCCTATGCTCTATCGGGGTTCTTTTGGCCTGTATTTCTCTGCATCTGGGCAATCCTCACATGGTCCAGAACATGTCCCTGTTTCTGAAAGCTGTGTCTGCAGCTGCTCCTCCTACAAACAGCTGCCTCCCTCTTCTGCAGTCCACTAGTCCATACAGTAACAGGATCTCCCAAATGGTTGTATTCTCCAAAGTGTTCATAGGCCTGTGGACATAGGCCTGATCCTTATTTCTTTTAAACTTCCTTAAAAGTGGACTATAACATTTAGTGAGACATAGCTAAAGGCTTGACATAGAGGAAAAAAATTATAATGAAAGGAGGAAAAACTACTAAATATTCCTGCTAACCATAACTATCTTCCGAGTTAATAATTCTGGCCCCACTGTAACCAAGGGAGTGTACTTAGCTACCAGAGGTTGTAAGTTCTTGGCCTCTCTAACCCTGAAGAATGGGGAAAGTGGCCCCAGAGGTGTGATGGGTTTACCACTTGAATAAAATAATGGACCCAAATAGTTTTGCAGAAGAGTAATTTATTAGACAGAGAGAGAGAGAGAGAGAGAGAGAAGATGGCTCCTACGCTGTTGCAGGTGGGGAACCCAGAGTGGGAAATCCATTTAGATAGGAGCAACTGAAGTTTTTAACCCTTGAGTTATTCCCTCCCCATTCATGTTCTCATCCAATGAGAGGAGTTCTTTCAAACTTCCTCTGGAGTGATTGATCTTTGACTCTAATACCAGATTGGCTACTTGGTCTACAACCCTGAATTACAGAGCCCTCTCCTCCCAGAGCTTTCCGCAGGAATTTGGGACATAAGAGCCCCACTTAACTTTCCCTACCTTGCCCGCACGTGGGAAACTAGACAAAGAATTTTACATTTGAAACCCCTCTGGTCTCCGAATGGAGGTGTGGAGACAGGAAATTTCTGCATTTGAAACCCCTCCTCTAGCGGACCTGGGAAGAAATGTTTCTTTAATAACACAGTCCCTCACCACTACCAGGTATCTTGGAGGGCTTCTTTCTACCTAGCCCTTATTTCAATAGCCATGCTATAAAGTGATCTTTGCTCATTCTCCTGAATGAAACTACCCCGAAACATGAATGCTTGACTCAGAGAGTAGGATGCAAACACTTTGTGGTCCCCAGAAAGAATTACATTCTTCCTATTAAGAAATATAATGTAATATGCAGAATGTCACCCCACCCTCAATGAGGACAAGGTCTTACATTACCATGCAGAGAAGCGTATGACCCCCACAAATCTGAGACAGGTCTCACTTAATTTAGAAAGTTTATTTTACCAAGGTAGAAGATGCTCACCTATGACACAGCCTCGGGAGGTCCTGATGACAAGCACAGCTTGGTTTTATATATTTTAAGGAGACCTGAGACATCAATCAATATATGTAAGAGGTACATTGGTTCCTTCCAGAAAGGAGGGAGGGACAACTCAAGCAGGGAGGAGGTTTCCAGGTCACAGGTAGGTAAGAGACAAACAGTTGCATTCTTTTGAGTTTCTGATTAACCTTTCCAAAGAAGGCAATCAGATATTCATTTTGCTCAGTGAGCAGAGGCTTGACTTTGAATAGAATGGGAACCAGGTTTGCACTAAACAGCTCCCAGCTTGACTTTTCCCTTTAGTTTAGTGATTTTGAGAGCCCAGAGATTTATGTTCCTTTTACATTTTCCTCCTTTTCTTTTTAAAAATCCTTTGGAAAAAGTATTTATGAAGAAAATGAGTCTCTGGTCTCAGGTTTCATCTGGTCTCTCATGGCTAAGATGGTTTATTCCTAGATAGTTAGGTCCTGAATTAGTAGGAAAGCTTACTTTGAAAAAGTTGAGAACTCTCATGTCCTATGCAGAGAAAACAGAGGGAGGGAGAAAAACAAAATGAACAAACAAAAAAAAACAGTTCTGGTAAATTGATATAGGCCACATTACTCTGAAGCCCACATATCAGAAGGCAGGTGTGAGAGTGACTTATGCATGTAAATAGGTTGCTGTATTTTCTTCTGAAGTTTAGATTATCTAGCTTCAGTTCACAGGGCCTTACAAGAAAAGCACAGCTTAGTTTTCAGTTACTCCAAATGAGAAAAAATGGTGGGAAAAAGAAAGAGAAAAACATGAAAACATTATTTTGAAGACTTACAGTCAAGAAAAAATAGAATTTAGTTCAAATTATATAAAATAATAAAAATTGAAAAACACCAGGCTAGAATCCAACAACAGATGAACTATAATCTTTGAAACTACATTTTTTAGTACTGCAGATGGCAAAGGGGAAAGAAGATAGAGGATGGAAGAAAAGTAAATGAGAGAACATTTGTTGTCTGTGTGTGTTTTGTTGTTGTGGCTGTTGTTTTTAAGATGGGACACACACACAGAAACTAAGCACATGGATTTTGGGGAGTTTTTCCTCTTTTGCTGCTGTTGTAGCAGGAGCGGCCACGGGAAACGGATTTCTTGAACACCAAATACAGGAGGAAGAAGGGTTTATTATTATTATTCTACGGCTGGGAGCCTGGGTGGTAATTTGTCCAAAACCCAGCTCATCTAACAAAGGGAGGTTCTGCCTTTATATAGGCTTATACTTTAGATATTACAGGTGAAAGAATCTTAGGTTCATAGCTTTAGAAATCACATATGAGAAGGGTCTCGGTTTACAGCTTCAGGAATTACATATGAAAAGGTTAAGTTCATAGTTTTAGGGCTCACATGTGAAAAGGTTTTTGTTTACAGTTTCAGGAATCACATATGAAAGGGTTCCGGTTTTCAGTTTTAGGACACATATGTGAAAAGGTTTCTGGTTTGATCTTGTTTTAAGTAAAAATAGTGCCTTCCGGAGAGTTTCTCCAAGGCCCAGCCTGCCACCTACAGAAAGGTGAAAACGGAGGCGCCAGTCGGTCAACCTTTTCTTCTATTGAAATGCAGTGTGATAGTCAAAGGGAAAGTTGATCTGAGATGCCTGGGTCTCCCTCGTCACTATGAGGAATTTTGGCCAAATTAAAGAGGCTTTGTGACCCATAATTTGAAATTTTCACTTGGATTTGACCAAGTAAGGTAGAGTTGATCACTGAGCACTCTAATGGTAAGGAGAAATTAAGAACAGCTGGCTGGCCGGGTGCAGTGGCTCAGGCCTATAATCCCAGCACTTTGGGAGGCCAAGGTGGGCATATCACCTGAGGTCAGGAGTTTGAGAACAGCTTGGTCAACATGGTAAAACCCCATCTCTACTAAAAATATAAAAATTAGCTGGACTTGGTGGTGTGTGCCTATAGTTCTAGCTACTTGGGAGTCTGAAGCAGAACAATAGCATGAACCTGGGAAGCAGAGGTTGCAGGGAGCCTGAGATCACACCACTGCACTCCAGCCTGGGCAACAGAGCAAGACTCAGTCTTGTTAAACTTAAGCCAAGGCTGCTTTCTACTATCATAGGAGTAGGAAAAACAAAAACAAAAACAAAAAATCCTGGAACTCATCTTTTCTGCTGGAGCGACCTCAAAAGCCATAAAGGAGTTCTGTCTTCCATCATCATGGAAACAGAAAATCTTGCCTTCCTTGTTGGAAGCAAGTAAAACTACAAAAAAGGGAATTGTACAGCAAAATAAACTTTAGATCTTGACCAAATTTGGGGAGATCAGGGATTCTCTGGAGTGTGGACTCCCAGACCTCAGCAAATTGTCCTATTGGCTTGAGCCATAAAGTTAGCTCATGCTGGTACCAAGCACTGACAGATTTGTCAAGTCAGGGCATCTCCACTCAGAATCTCTCCATGGTTGCCAAAATGTGAGTTCCAAATATCTGAGACAGGTCTCAGTTAATTTAGAAAGTTTATTTTGCCAAGGTAGAAGATGCTCACCTATGACACAGCCTCAGGAGGTCCTAATGACATGTGCCCAAGGTGGTTAGCGCATAGCTTGGTTTTATATATTCTAGGGAGACATGAGACATCAATCAATATATGTAAGACATACATTGCTACTGTCCAGAAAGGAGAAGCAAATCAAGCAGGGAGGGGGGCTTCCAGGTCACAGGTAAGTAAGAGACAGTTGCATTCTTCTGAGTTTCTGATCATCCTTTCCAAAGAAGGCAATCGAATATGCATTTATCTCAGTGAGGATAGGGATGATTTTGAATAGAATGAGAAGCAGGTTTTCCCTAAGCCATTCCTAGCTTGACTTTTCCTTTTAACGTAGTGATTTCCAAGATTTATTTTTCTTTCACAAGATCAACTCCTCATTTCAGAATAAAGTATTTGCTCTATTCCTGTAGACGCAAATAACCCATTAAAATGCTTTACCAAATAAATGCAGTCTTACTTCAAAGGTAAATTCATGTTCTACCTAAAGAAACACCTATAGTAGCATAAAATTCCAGTTTCTTCCATTTCATACCATCTGTCTTTCAAAATACTGGAATCTAATTTCTACTCATAGGAGTCCATTACAAAGTAAAAATAAAAACTAGAATCTTCACACTACTCAACTTCAAACGATACTACAGGGCTACAGTAATTAAAACAGCATGGTACTGGTACAAGAACAGACAAGCAAGCCCAGAAATAAGACCACAAACCTACAACCATCAACAAATCTGACAAAAATAAGCACTGGGGAAAGGATTCCCTATTTAATAAATAGTGCAGAGAGAACTGGTTTGCCATATGCAGAAAATTGAAACTTGACTCCTTCTTTATACCATATACAAAAATCAACTCAAGACAGATTAAAGACTTAAATGTAAAACCTAAAGCTATAAAAACCCCAGAAGAAAACTGAGGCAATATCATGTAATACATAGGTATCGGCAAAGATTTCATGACGAAGATGCCAAAAGCAATTGCAACAAAAGCAAAAGTTGACAAATGAGATCTGCTTAATCTAAAGAGCTTGTGTAGAGCAAAAGAGATTATCATCAGAGTAAACAGACAACCTACAGAATGGGAGAAAATTTTTGCAATCTATGCATTTGAGAAAGGTCTAAAATCCAGCATCTATAAGAAACTTAAACAAATTTACAAGAAAAAAAATAACTCCATTAAAAATTGAACAGAGGATATGAACAGACATTTCTCAAAAGAACACATACATGCAGCCAAAAAACATATGAAAAAAGCTCATCATTAATGACCATTAGAGAAATGCTAATTAAAATCACAATGAGATGCCATCTAACACCAGTCAGAATGGCTATTATTAAAAAGTCAAAAGTAACAGAGGCTGGTGAGGTTGTGGAGAAAAAGAAACATTTTTACACTGTTGGTTGCAGTGTAAATGAATTCAACCATTGTGGAGGACAGTGTGGTGATTCCTCAAAGACTTACAGACAGAAATACCATTCGACTCAGCAATGGGTATATACCAAAAGGAATAGAAATAGTTTTGTTATAAAGACACATTGATGTATAAGTTCATTGCAGCACTATTCACAATAGCAAAGACATGGAATCAGCCTAAATACCCACCAACGACAGACTGGATAAAAAAAAAAAAATGTGGCACATATACACCATGGAATACTAGGCAGCCATAAAAAAAGAACGAGTTCATATCCTTCGCAGGGACATGGATGAAGCTGGAAACAATCATTCTTAGCAAACTGATGCAAGAACAAAAACCAAACACTGCATATTCTCAGTCATAGTGAGTGTTGAACACTAAGAACACATAAACACAGAGAGGGAAACCTCACACTCCACGGGGGAGCTAGGGGAGGGATAGCAAGGGGTTGGGGGGATTGGGGAGGGATAGCATTAGGAGAAATACCTAAAGTAGGTGACAGGGAATGGATGCAGCAAACCACCATGGCATGTGTATACCTATGTAACACTCCTGCATGATCTGTGCATGTACTCCAGAAATTAAATTATATATATAAAAAAAAACATAGTTGTGGCTGAATAATTAAAGAAAATAGGTTTCTTTGGCTCACAGTTCTGCAAGCTGTAGAGGAAGCATGGTACCAAAATATGCTTCTGGTGAGAGCCTCAGAAAACTTCCACTCATGGCAGAAGGTGAAGGGAAGCAGCAAGGCATGGCAGGAGATGAAGCAAGAGTGACAGGAGGGAGGTGCCAGACCATTTTCCACAATCAGTTTTCACAGAAACTAAGAGTGAGAACTCATGCTCATGAGAATGGCTCCAAGCCATTCATGAGGGATCAGCCTACATGACTCGAACACCTCCCACCAGGCCTCACCTCCAAAACGGGTTGGGGGGGATCATTGAGCATGAGATTTGGTGGAGATAAACTATATCCATACCATAGCCAGTACTCCGGTTTGTCAAACCATTTTGCCAGAATTTTACATTTTATGTATATGCACTCCAATGTTACCTCAGAGGAGGTACAGCTAAAATAAGAGTATCAGAATGTGAAAAAGAAGAGAATAGCAGAATGTTAATAACTTTGAAACTGGATGATAAATGGAAAAGGGTTCATTATGCTACTATTTGTTTACCTTTGAAATTTTCCAAATAAATCATTTTATAAATTATCTCATAAATGTCTATTTAAGATATGGAAAAAAAAGAGTCTATGTTTTACTAACTGGAAAAACAAAATATTACCTAGCACATGCTTTTATTGTTGGGTAATATTTGCGTGTTTGTAAAAGACTTGAACAAAAATGTTAATGGACAATTGTGAAGGTGGGATCCAGGTGTCTTATGTTCTTTTTGTTGTTGTTGTTGTTGTTGTTTTCTAGTTGTTTCTGATTTTTAAACTGAATACATATTAATTTTTTAATTAGAAAAATGCATCACAAATGTTACCTTTCTAAAAATAACCAAAACAACAACAAAAAAGAGAGAGTAATGATCCAAATTACTCTGAGACTCAGGAAAGTTGATATGTTCAGGACCTTTGGAAAAATCCTGCCTCACAGGCTAAAAGACTTCTTGGCATTACCATACATCAACACTTCCTTCCTCTGGGAGAAAGAAGAACATGATAAAACGTAAAACTTTTGATGGTTCTCCTCCCTAGAGAAAATCTATATAAAAACAAGGGAAAGGAATAAAAACACAAGCCTTACTGGGTCATGACGATGTATTTTATGCTTGCTGCTTTAATAAATGTTTTCTTAGAGAATAAAGGAAACAATCCTTTCTTCCCCCCAAAGACTTCAAATTAGTTTAAAAGGGAAACTTGATCAGATGATATCTAAAGAACTTGATTCTGTACAGTCTTTTGCCAAAAAAGGCATCCTTACTGCTTGAATTGTTCAAATAATTAAAAGAAAACCACCTCACTCCAACAAAGGGCTTAAAAAAAGGACTGGAAAGGAAAGGAACTCTCCCCTGATCCTTAGCAGAGAAACCCTGTCAAACATACAGCATGTTCTCTAGTGAGACGAGCCACATCCCAGGATTGGTCTGAGGGGCTTACTTACAGCAGGAGAAGGATGATGGGTAGACCAGGCTGAAGTCTAGGCCCGCATGGGAAAACGGGTGATAGACAACATCAGAATTCACCAGCGCAATCTCCTCAGGCAGCAAGGCATAATTGGTTTCCATACCCTACAGGAACGTCTCAGGAAACGACTGGCCCACGAAGCTGATATTATTGCAGTAGCAGAACTGAGCAATGGGGTGGTGAAGTAATGAGAAATCCAGGTTGAAAATAAATGTGAGTCTAGATTACATATTCACAACTGAGGCTCTATAACCAACAGGGTGAAAATTGGTTCTTGGGAACAACAAAAAAAATAATCATACCTTCTTAAAATATATTTATGTTTTAGAGAAGTTTTAGGTTCTCAGCAAAATTGATCAGAAGGTACAGATACTTCCCATATACTCCCTGACACCCCCCACCTCCCCCAACACACACGCTTACAACATTTCCCATTATCAAAATCCCCTACAGAGTGGTACATTTGTTACAATTGATGAACCTACATTGGCCTGTCATTATTACCCAGAGTCCATAGTTTGCATTAGTATTCACTCTTGGTGATGTGCATTCTGTGGTTCTAGACAAATGTAAAATGACATGTATCCACCATTATAGTAACATGCAGAGTAGTTTCACTGCCCTAAAAATCCTCTGGGTCCCATCTATTCAACCTTTTTTCCTCTCTATTCCCTGGCAACCACTCATCTTTTCACTTTCTCCATAGTTTTGCTTACTTTTTCAGAATGTCATATAGTCAGAGTCATACAATATGTAGCCTTTTCAGATTGTTTCTTTCACTTAGTGAAATGCATTTGATGTTCCTCCATGTCTTTTCACTGTTTGATAGCTCATTTCTTTTCAATACTGAATAATATTCCATTGTCTGAATGTACCACAATTCATGTATCCTTTCACCTACTAAAGCGTATCTTGGCTGCTATCAAGTTTTAGCAATTATAAATAACAGTGCTACAAACATCTATGTGCAGGCTTTTGTGTAGATACAAGGCCAGTATTGATTACTAATGATTGAAAAGTGTTCTTCCCCTGAGTTACCTTGTTCTCTACTATTGGGGCATTCCCTCTTCATATGACCTGGCTCTCCACGTAGGAAACAATTAGTGTTTCTCTCCCTTCTCACGTTAGGAGGTCTTAACGCCATAGTCAATATTCTGGCTTTGCGTGTCTCAGTCCCTACAAGTTGACATGCTCATATTCATTCCCTGACTGTGGCTGCCTTTCCTCCGCCTGCATTGCTTGTTGGCAATCCACATCAGCGTTCTCATAAGCCAATTGCAAAAATAAAATATCAGCATATCTTATGGCTGTACACGTTAATGTACACCAACTTGATTTTGATCCCCAGGCCTATGCACAAGTGTTTTTGTGTACTCTCAGGGCTTGGGACTGAATTCCCAAAAGTGGAACTCAGCAGGTATCTTTTCTACATATTCAACAAAGAGCCATTTGTTGAGTTTATCAATCTGTTAACCTAGGCAATTAAACAACAAATTAGTCACATCCAAGTTACTGATATCTTATTGTTGCAATTGGCTTATGAGAAACATTGGTCGAGTCAATGCAAGTCCAGATTTTATAAAAATGGCAAACTTCTAAGTAATCAGATAGGAAACTTCATGAGGGGCCCATCTCAGGCCCCGCTCCCAAGTGGGGCAATGCCAGTGGCTTTCCTTGGACAGATGTAAAACCCATGGACCTCTCTCTCAGAGCATCCACCACTGGTAGTGCAGGACTGGACTTACTGTGCCCCAGAGTTGCAAAACCTCTTTTTTATCTTAAAAGGCAATGCTGACCTGGATTCTCCCAAATATCTAACCCCTGCAGCAAAAAGGGAAATTGTGGAAAAAGAACAAGCCATTTCTCACAGCCAACTAGTTCACATAGACCTGCACTATTCCGTTCAATTGTTTATCTTTCCCACCAAACACTACCCTACAGGGTTAATAGGACAGATGACCCCAGGGCTACACTTTTTTTTTTTTTTTTTGAGATGGAGTTTTGCTCCTGTTACCCAGACTGGAGTGCAATGGCGCGATCTCGGCTCACTGCAACCTCCGCCTCCTGGGTTCAGGCAATTCTCCTGCCTCAGCCTCCTGAGTAGCTGGGATTACAGGCATGCACCACCATGCCCAGCTAATTTTTTGTAGTTTTAGTAGAGACGGGGTTTCACCATGTTGACCAGGATGGTCTTGATCTCTTGACCTCGTGATCCACCTGCCTCGGCCTCCCAAAGTTCTGGGATTACAGGCGTGAGCCACCGCGCCCGGCCTACACTTTCTATAATGGGTTTTTTGCTCACATATTGGGACTAAAACACTGTCTCCCTATATGCAGTTAGTCAGTAAAGTTATCTATTCGCTGCAGATGATGCAATCAGTTACTAGGTTATGACCCTGATATCATCAGGATTCCTTTAAGTAAAAAGCAAATCAAAGCGGTATTGCTCCTCTCTTTAGATCTTCAGATAGCACTCTGATTTCACTAGCCATACAGAGCATGTCCTTCCTGTTGACAAGCTTCTTCAGTTCTTTTCTTGTACTTCCGTGGTTTTGCCTACCAAAATAGTTCAATCCCTGTACCTAATGCTTTACCACTGTTTACTGATGACTCAGGTAAACATGAAAAAGCAGTTGTTTGGTGGAAAGCACATAATTTTCTCACTCATTTTGGATATACTATCACTCAGAGAGCTGAGGTTGGAGCTTTAATACTGGCCCCGGAAACTTTTCCTGCTCAGCCCCTCAATCTTGCCAGTGACTCCGCTTACTCTATTTATTGCAGAACCATGAAACAGCCCTCATTAAGTCTACTCTTGAACCCACTTTGTGTGCCCTTTTTCTCCGACTTCAGCAATTGCTAGATCAATGCATACATCCTATTTTGATTACACACATTCAGGCCCACGGCTCACTGCCTGGCCCACTGGCTTATGGCAATGATCAAGCAGACCTACAGGTTATGACATCACTGCTTGACCAAACCACCCAATCACATCAATTTTTTCCACAAAAATTGGAGAAACTTATCTAAACAATTTCAACTTACCAAGAGACCAGCTCAACAAATCCTGCAGTGCCCAGATTGCCAGCTAGCAGGCATATCCCCTCCTTCAACAGGTGTTAACCCTAGAGGACTAAAACCTAATTAGTTATGGCAAACAGATGCTATACACACCCCTGAATTTGAAAAACTATGTACGTGTATCTGTTGATACCAATTCTCATTTATTGCTTATGCTTTTCCTGGAGAGTCCAACCCAATATGTTATTAAACATCTTCTCTTAAATTTTCCATTTATGGGGTGGCCCACAAAAATAAACCTGATAATGGTCCAGCTTATGCCAGCTCACAATTTCAACACTTCTGTCACACATGGAACAACCGACATTTTAGATGCATCCCATATAAGCCCTAAGGACAGGCCAGAGTAGAACGCACCCACTCCACCCTTAAAAATATGCTCAGAAAACAAAAAAGGGGGAATATGAATAACACCACTAGCACAAGTCTTATTTACTCTTAATTTTTTAAATTTAGATGACAAATTTCAATCAGCTATAGAAAAGTACTTTGCTAAAACCTCTCAAGACAAAACCTGCAGTTTTAGGGAAAGCTGTGAATAGTAATAAATGATGTGGTCCAAATGATTTGCTAATATGGGGAAGAGGATATGCTTGTATTCACTCCCCCAAGGTCTTTGGATTCCAGCAAGACACATCAAACCTTACCATGGCATGGCTAGGACCCAACCCAATACCAGAAATGAAGGAGATGACCTTGCAGGACCTGCATCCCTGGATGACGTGGCTTCCTTGGACAAAACAGGCCCAGACATCACATGGGAAATGCTGAAGAAGACAACTCAGAAGGCTGAACAACAACTCCTGCTCTGGACACAGACACCATTCACTCCAGATAATTTATTCCTTACTATGATCTCTATTGTATATTGCAACTCACGTAGGATATTGATCTTTTTTGTGCCCTCGCTTTGTCTGCAACCTGTACCTGCTCCACTCTATTGGGCTCATCTCTTGGATCCACCTTTCTTTTGCCCTGTTACCTGGGCAGACACCCCCTTCCCAGCCTCTAATAACATAAGTGCCTGGATGAGGGGAATAGATTTCCCCCCAGTGGGGTCCCTCATTTAATGGCACACATTAGATTAAGGTGCCAGGTAACACTATATATTACTCCACTGTCCTCCCACTGTGCATGAGTTATAAAAGTTCTGACCCTTCCTGTGTATCTCCCAAACACAATTATGGCTACATCATGGCAAGGGAAATGTCTTAACAGTCTTAGTTGCAAGTAGCCTCAAACTGGGCAATGCAATCAATGCCACTTTCCCAAACATTCCTTCCTATGCTAAAGAATAAAGCTGGGAAAGTAATGGATTCCACTTTAGCTGGGAGGTCTGTCACAGGGAACAAGCCCCTAGTCCCCAGTTAGACAATTGAAACATCTTGGACTCTACATCCCTGATATGAGACCTATGCGATCATCGTGCATTATCTTTTTGATATACTGATGGATTCAGTTTGTTGGTATTTTGTTGATGATTTTTGCTTCTATGTTAGTCAGAGATATTGGTCTGTAGTTGTTTTTGTTTGTTTGTTTGTTTGTTTTTGTCCTTCCCTGGCTTTGGTATTAGGATAATACTGGCTTCACAGAATGATTTAGGGAGGATTTCCCTTTTTTCTATCCTGTGTAATAGTGTCAATAGGATTGATATCAATTCTTCTTTGAATGTCTGGTAGAATTCAGCTATGAATTTGGCTGTTTCTGGACTTTTTATTTGTTGGCAGTTTTTAAATTACCATTTCAATCTCCCTGCTTGTTATTGCTCTGTTCAGAGCTCCTGTATCTTCCTGGTTTAATCTAGGAGGGTTGTATATTTCCAGGAATTTATCCATCTCCTCTCCGTTTTCCAGTTTATGCTCATAATGGTGTTCATAGCAGCCTTGAATAATATTCTGTATTTCTGTGGTATCAGAAGTAATATCTCCCATTTCATTTCTAATTGAACTTATTTTAATTTTCTCTCTTCTTGGTTAATCTCGATAATGGTCTTTCCATTTTATTTGTCTTTTCAAAGAACCAGCTTTTTGTTTTATTTATCTTTTGTATCTTCTTTTGTTTGTTGGTTTCAATTTCATTTATGTCTGCTCTAATCTTTGTTATTTCTTCTGCTGGGTTTGGGTTTGAATTGTTCTTGTTTCTCCAATTCTGTGAGGTATGACTTTAGATTGTCTGTTTGTGCTCTTTCAGACTTTTTGATGTAAGCATTTACTGCTATGAACTTTCCTCTTAGCACTGCTTTTGCTGTATTCCAGAGGTTTTGATAGATTATGTCACTACTGTCATTCAGTTCAAAGAATTTTTAAATTTCCATCTTGATTTTGTTATTGACCCAATAATCATTCAGGAGCAGGTTATTTAATTTTTGGTGTATTTTCATGATTTTGAGGATTATTTTAGGAGTTAATTTCCAATTTTATTCCACTGTGGACTGACAGAATACTTGATATAATTTCAATTTTATTAAATTTACTGAGACTTGTTTTGTCTCTATTATATGGTCTATCTTGGAGAATGTTCCATGTGCTAATGAATAGAATGTATATTATGCAGTTGTTGAGTAAAATGCTCTGTAAATATCTGTTAAATCCATTTGTTTTAGGGCATAGTTTAAGTACATTTTTATTTGTTTATTTGCTGTCTTGATGACCTGTTCAGTGCTGTCAGTGCAGTACTAAAGTTTCCCACTATTATTGTGTTGCTATCTGTCTCATTTCTTAGGTCTAGTAGTAATTACTTTATAAATTTGGAATCTCCAGTGCTAGGTGCACATATATTTGAGACAGACATTTTCCTGTTGGACTAGTTCTTTTATCATTAGATAATGTTTCTCTTTGTCTTTTTAAACTACTGTTGCTTTACGTTTGTTTTTGATATAAGAATAGATACTCCTGCTTGCTTTTGGTGTCCATTTGTGTGGAATATCTTTTTGCACCCCATTACTTTAAGTTTATGTGAGTCTTAATGTGTTGGATGAGTCTCCTGAAGACAACAGAAACTTGGTGGGTGAATTCTTATTTATTCTGCCATTCTGTATCTTTTCAGTGGAGCATTTAGGCCATTTACATTCCGTGTTAGTATTGAATGCTATTTGTTGCATGAATATCTTGGGAATTTTTTCATTGTATTATTGTTATATAGGCCCTGTGAAATTTATGCTTTAAAGAGGTTCTATTATAGTCTATTTCAAGGGTTCCTTTCAAGATTTAGAGCTCCTATTAGCAGTTCTTGTAGTGCCACTTTGGTAGTGAGAAATTCTCTTAGCATTTGTTTTGAAAGGACTGTATCTTTCCTTCATTTATGAAGCTTAATTTTGCTGGGTACAAAATTCTTGGCTAATAATTGTTTTGTTTAAGGAGGCTAAAAATAGGATTCCAATTCCTTCTAGCCTGTAGGGTTTCTGCTGAGAAATCTACTGTTACTTTGATAGCTTTCCTTTACAGATTATCAGATGTTTTTGTCTCACACCTCTTAAGATTCTTTCCTTTATCTCAACTTTAGATAACCTGATGACTATATGCCTTGGTGATTATCTTTTTGCAATGATTTCCCAGGTGTTCTTTGAGCTTTTTGTTCTTGGATGCCTAGATCTCTAGCAAGGCCAGGGGAAGTTTCCTCAATTATTCCCGCAAAAATGTTTTCCAGACTTTTAGATTATTCTTCTTCCTCAGGAACACCAGTTATTTTTAGGTTTCAATGTTTAATGTAGTACCAACCTTCTAGGAGGCTTTGTTCATTGTAAAAAAAATTATTTTTTCTTTGCTTTGATGGATTAGATTAATTTGAAAGCCTGGTCTTTGAGCTTTGAATTTCTTTCTTCTGCTTGTTCGATTCTATTGCTGAGGCTTTCTAGTGCATTTTTCTTTCTTTTTTTGAAATTTTTTATTACACTCTAAGTTCTGGGTTA